GTGAAACGTTTCTTCTTGGATTTTTTGCAACAATTTAAAAACTGATTTTCATAGGTTTCTTCTTTGTCAAAGAGCGTTTCTTCGTAACACGTGTTCCTCAATTTCCTGTACACATCGCGTAGAGGGAAATTCTGGCCACCAGGTTCCGTTCCCAAATCCCGTGGCAAATTTCCCCTCCGCTTTCTAGCGGCGTAGTAGCATTACGTGTATGGAACCTTTTCTTTTTTACATAGACGTTCTTTGGTTAGAATAACCTCCATGTATGGTACACACGAGGTTTGGTGAAATGATGAGCAGTAAATGTGTTATTTTGGTCTTTGCGACAATTTTCAAAATCGTGCCAAGGCCTTACTGTATACTAGAATTTTACCGCAAAATTTTTTTTAACCTTTTTTTTTTCCTTTTTAATAAATACCTTATTTGTCATTTTGCAGTAAAATAAAAAAATAGTAATCGGTCATCTAGGCTAACCATGTATTATAACTATATTCACTAAAATATCGTTGATTATTCTAATTCAATTTTTAAGTAATTATCTTTATGTTATTCATTCCCGGATGTATAGTTAATGTTAAATTTATTTATTAGTAGTAAATAATATTTCCAAATTTCAGGAAATTTTCTCTAACATAATCCTGAAATTAATTCTAGCAGTATGATGACATACCATCATGAAATTTAATGCACATATTTTTTCCTCATCTATGCTGCGAAATAAATATAAAATACCTCAATTTATTAAAAAAAATAGTATTAAATAGATTTCTTTCTTTCATTTAGCTGCAGAATGTCTGGAAAAAAAAAAAAAAAAAAAAAAAAAAAAAAAAGCCTTATTTTATTTCAAATTGGGCAGATTCTAATCTCAATCTTCAGTGGAGAAAACAACTCCTAATATAATTATATTTGTGTTTTCAAGTGTTAAGGTGCCTTTTAAGAAGACACCTCACACAAATTAATTTACCTGAAATCTAACCTAACTGTCTAACATTGCGTTGTGATTTATAAGGACCGGATTAACTTCGTGTTGAACTGGTGATGATCATGAATAATAATTATCTTAAATTTTATTAAGTTTCTTAAGAGGAAAAGTAAACAAAATTATCAAACAAAGTATACCAAGAATAATTAAGAATAAATGTCCCCTGGGTTTTAGTCAATAATTAAGTGAATTTGCTACACAACAGAAGTAATACCATAATAAATTAACCTCTTAGCACAGCCAACGTGCATCACACGGATAGACTGGAATTTCCTTGAAACACACCTTGGAAACCTGGAAAAGTCAGGGAATTTCATTCTCCTGTTTGAGTGGCAACCTTGTTGGATATTTAGCTGTGTCCTGCTGGAGTTGGTGAAATTCTGTGTAGCATAATGTTGAAATTGATAACATTGCATTTAATGCATTACTAGTTTCTGGACATATGCAAATAGTAGTATAATAAATGAAAAATTATTGAATATTTTGAGATGTTTGGAAGAAAGCAGTTGACTTGCAATTATGTGTAATGAATAATTATCTATACTGGCTACGAAAAGATTCATTAATTTTAAGTGTGTGACAAATATGAAGCTGGTAGACTTCAGAAAATTTTGGGTTATTTTAGATAATGTAATTGAATTATGTAGAATCATCTGTTAACTTTTTAAAGTTTATGTTGTAGTAGTACAAAGCTGCTTAAAATAAATATTGAAATTCATGAGCCACATCATTATAACTGTACTAGATCAAAAATATTTTCTGTGAGACAACCCCAGAGAAAATATTTAATTTTTATTTATATTGTGTATGTTTCTAAAAGTTAAAGAACATTAATCATCATTTGCTTTAATGATTGCAATCACCCATGCACTGTGCAAACGTGGAATATGTTGCTCCATAATATAGAGTTGTTTCAAGAGGCTGGAATGTGATGAAATAGTTGTTTACTGTGCCAAGTCCACTTAAAAGCACTGTTAGCATGCTGTGGATGTAATGAAGTTCCAAGAGGATCTTAATGATCATTAATTAAAATTACTTCAACTTTTCAAAGAAATCATTGATGAAATGAGGTCGCTAAAGCTACCAGTTTCAGATGTCATTCCAAAAACAGAAACTTTAAGTCAATACTTATCTTTTCTCGGTAAGAAACCATCAAACATTAGAAGTGGCTAAAACAGTCTTCTTCTCTTTAATAATAAAAATTAAAAAAATTAATTCTACTCAAAATTCCCTTAAATAAAACCTCGATCATTATATGTCTTAGAGACATTGCATTTTTTATATTGTGCTTTTTTTTAAGGAGCATATTTCCTAAATATGAATAGAGACAAAGGGTAAAATGTCAAAACATGAATATTTGTGTTATTTAAAACATTTTTTTGGTGCTTCTGTGTTATCTACCCACAAAGTCGCCAGCCATTGGCAACTACTTCCCAACCTACACATGAAAAACAGAAGCCATTTTTAAAAAGTATCAGTGAGGTGAAAATTATATATAACAGTAACAAAGTAACAAAATTAAAAAGTTGAAAAAGTCAATAATAAAAGAGTAAAAATTATATAAAACAAATGACCATGACAAAACGCTAAAAATTTCTTTAAACATTGACAAATTAACTAAAAAAACACAACAAACGTGCAATAAAACACTTAACTTTATATTTTCTTGGTCTATGTGCACAGCAACCTGTTTCAACTTAAAGGAGAGATTTTTTTACAGAATTCTTGTTATTGCAGACCAAACTAGCACTGCTCTTCATGTACAGATAGACTTGTTACAATTCTCGCCATTGTATGCCAACTTGGCACTGCTCTCCATGTAGACATTGACCTGTTTTAACTTAAAAATCAGAATTGCTTTTCTTTGGAAAAACAAATTATTTTCATACTAGACACGCATACTTCTCGCAGATAATTGCATCAATCAATAGTTGTATTCAGAGACATACTAAGACAAGAATGATAAAAGTTCCCAGATTTATATTTTTCAGTCTAGAAATGAATAAAACAAACAGCTGGTGTGATAGATATTTGGCTATTCTCAAACTGATTTCTTACTCGCATTTGAACTTTTTGCTGGCAATCTTTAACAGTGCATTTTCATATAATTTAATCATTTGCTTCATGAAAATTCCCAAATGTAGCCTATTACATGGTGGCTTAATGTGCATGCAACCATTTATGGGTTGCCAGATAAAATTGGGTTGCCTGCTTTGGTGACATAGTGTTTTGCCCAATGATTCTTCTCACTGCTTGGCGGATAATGTGAAAGTACCTAATTTTTTTAAAAAATAGAAGTATGTGTCTGACCACTGGTGTCAAAAATAAAAGGCCAGTAAAGACTTTTATAGACATAGTATGTAATGAGAGACTATTTTCAAAAGCAGGTTTACTTAATGAAAAGAGATGTAACTGATTTTGACCGGAAACATAACAATCTTGTTATGTTAACACTTCTTTATTGAAGTGTATGTAACATTGAAACATTTTTTTTTTACTTTGTCAAATCAAAAATTTTAGAAAAGAGGTTTTTTTTTTTTTTTTTTTTTTTTTTTTTTTTTTTTTTTTTTTTTGATAAATGTGCTTTTCGATTAGAAGAGACTTTGTGTAAAATTTGAAGTAACTCAAAAAGCAGCCTTATGTTAATGCTGATCTTGGATGAAAGTACTGATTTTGAGAGTGGTCAGACACAGGTCCCTTTTCTTCGGGAACAAAATTTGCAAGTTTCACCATGTATTTTTTTCAGAAGAGTAGTCATGAATAATAACTTTCAAAAGTTATCTCTCAGATTTTAAACTTTTATCTTTGTATGCTTCTTGAAGAGCCTTAACTGGACATTAATATTTTCACATCTTTTGTTTAAAGTAATTACATCTGAAGATGTAAAATGCCAATGTAGTGTTGGAAAGGCAACTATAATTAAGTATGAAATGTAATGATAATAATAATAATATAATGAAATATCCATAGGTGATTTAGTTCTATAAGATGGGCTTGCTAAATATATAATCTATACTTAATAAACAATGTAAAACTGAAAATAGGTATAAAGCTAACGAGAAACTTTAATGTGAAACGAGAGGAGTGCAACTTTCTAGTCTCCCCCCTTTGAAGTAGAGATCGTAATAACTGGTGTTTTGGTATTAATTGTATCTTTTGGAATGTGTGCTGGAGCCGATACGTGGGGACATGAAGCTGTTAATTCCCAGATTTCTTCAACTTACTCCACTGTTCGCTTTTGATGCAATGGAATCAATGATGCAATGGAAGTGTTTCATTGCAGTGACACCGCCGCATTCATCAGTCAACTAATGGATGGCGAAATCTATAGTATGTTGCTAAATTCAGAAAATATCACTACAGATAGTGAAGAAAATGTCAGAGGGCTTGCAGAGAATTTAAAAAAAAAAAAAAAAAAAGATTGACATTGTAGTGGTAATTCTTGACGCAATAAATTGCAGGATTTGAACCATGGAATTTTGTAACTTAACAAGAAATTATGTCTATGTATAGAATTAAAGAAAATGTATTACCACAAAAAAGGGAAGCAAGTGAAACAACTTGCATTGAAAGAAAGGTTTAAAGCAAATAAATATTGAGTGTTTTTAGGTATTGGTTCTCATAAGGTCAAGAATGCTTCATTAATTTCATCACTATTTCACACTTTTAATTTTCTGATTTCTTCATGTAATTTTACTAAATTTAAACTGCTAATTTAATATGCAGAAAAATCTCAAATCTCGAATTGCCGAAGTCCGAATGAGTTTGTGTCTTAGACTTTATACCATATTCTGAAGTGATTAGAACTGGCTGGCAAAAGTACATATTTACCATTTTGCAAAGTGTCTAAATTAACAGCATTGATCTTTACTTATACTATAGTTCTTTCACAAAATAGCTTGAGATTACTCATCTTGATTGGTTTTCTTTGTTACTTATTCTAAATTATTATAGCCAGTCACTAAAATTATTTTTCATTGAATATCTTTCGCAAAAACATTAAATTGTATATCTTTTCTAGTTCCCTGTGGGTCGTATACACAGACATTTAAAGCATCGTACTACAAGCCATGGTCGAGTTGGTGCTACTGCAGCTGTGTATAGTGCTGCTATTCTTGAATATCTAACAGCTGAAGTAAGTAAAATGCATTGTAGCTGTATTATTTGTGGTTTCATAAAACAATTTCTAGTGATATCTTGCTATACATTTGCAGCTTTGTAAAAACCGTTATCTATTGATGTCTTATTATATACTGGTAATCAGAATTAAAGGATAATGACAGAAATAAATCGTGACTGATACTTAGTTAATAGAAATTTGTATAAAAGCATTAGCTAACATAAATTGCAGTGTTTGGCAGTTGATTATTCACAAAATATTGAAATTAAAACAAAATTTATGGAATTGGGAAATGATAGAAATATTAAGTCGCCTCTTGTGGAAAACACTTTTTAATATGGTGAATGGTTGGTTACCTTGATGAGCTATACATCCCTCACATCTTGGTTTGATAAACTTTACCAAAGTGTTGATCAAGTCATGTGAAATTGCTTGCCACCTTTCTAAATGTGCACTTTTCAACTTCTGGAGGATCTGGGGAGGAATTTGATGCGCTAAAATTCAGAGCCCTAAGGCATCCTACACATGCTCAATGAGTTTCAAGTCAGGTGAGTAAGGTGGCCAACCCATTTGGATGATATCTTCTATTTGCAAGTATTCAGACACCACATTTGCTCAATGAGGCTGAGTATTATCATCCATTAGCAAAAACTCTTAGGCCAACAGCACCCCTAAACAGTAACTTGGGTTTCTAGTACTTTGTCCACATATCTGCGAGTGGTTACACAACCTCCTTGAATATACTCATCCAGAAACAGAAACTAAATCAAGTTCCATTACTGCAAGCACGAACAGGCCGTTTGAAACTCTGAAATATGCTTGATTTCAAGTATCGTTCCACAGTCTTTACTAGAGCTGCATACCATTTACATATTATTGTTTAGAACACAGTTTTGGTTCATCAGCATTCTAATCACACCCAAAGGCAAAGCCCTAATTCAACGCATATAAAATAATTCAATCCACATCCCACTTCTGATAAATATATGTGTAAATAATAAATTAATTAGAAGATATTTTAATGAAGACAAACAATAACATTAAACATTTAGAAGAAAAAGTAATTATTCATAGTTTTTTACAGAAGCAGCACCTCTGCTTTTGCATTTCTCTGTTATTGATGTCTGAAAGGTGCTTCTCCTAATTTATGGCTTTCAAAAGAGCTCGTAATGGAAAGGATGACATCACTTCTATATTACATCATGGCTGCTGGATATACATGGTTTCAAGCGACCGGCACCACATATACAAGATTGGAGAAAGCATATGCTCTGAGCAGTAAATTTGCATAGTTGCTTAGTTTTAATAATGTTGTATGGACTAAGTGTAATAGTTATTAATTTTGGCATATAATATAAAAGAAAATTATATTAATAAATTTGACAAATATAACTTTACATTTCAGTAGTTGTATTTGGTGCTTTTAGCGAAATACTTATGAAAAAAATTAAAAGTATAGTATGCAAAAGAAAGACAATTTTTTATGGAATTAACTTATAGGTGTAAAACATTGAATATTAATTATAGCTTGACAGTGCTGACAGATGGAAGGAGAAAATTAGCAATTCATTGGGATATATTACCTATTACTCTTGCAGTACTTTGAAGCTTTTCAGTTTTGTCATTTAGTTTAAGCACCACTGCTCTCCTAATTTGTATACATATCCAGTTAGATTTAAATCTGAAGACTGAATCACTGTATTGTTTTCTGTAGTTTTTTAGCAAGGTCCTAATGAATTTGCTTATATGATCTGAGTTGATATGAGAGTGCAGAATGCATTAACATCGAAGATTTGAATGTGCAGTGTCTCTGTATTTTCATCTATATGATCCTTGTTTCTATCAGAAGAGTAATTCATGTGCAGAGAAACATTGCCATATCACATATTTCTAGATGAAATCAAGTATTTTATATTACGTAGTGTGTCTGAAAATTTCTAGACTCATTAAGAAAAGATTTTATCTTTTAGATACTTTTATAGAAGCTGATTTTTCAATTTTGCTCTTTTCATTTTAGAGAATAGAAAATAGTAACAAAAATGCCAAATATGGTGAATAGGAAAATGATTAGTAAAAGTTAAACGCGGGAGCAGAAGCTTGATGATAATTTCATCAAAGAGGCAATAAATATCCATAACCTTATTGTGTCTTTTCTGGCTTAATGTGACCCTTCAGAGGTAGGATCTATAACTTCAGACTATAAAGCAGGGATTGTCAAACTATGCCTAAAATCATAGATTTATATTTACATTCTTTTAAATGCAGTAAAGCAATTTTTTAACAGAAAAGAAAGTTTGAAATAAATTAATGAGAATTTAGTATTTTATGTATAATAAATGTGATTACATATGAATAAATAATTCTTGTTTCTGCTGATGTATTATGTTCCTATGATATACAAATATGAAATTATTGTATGATGTAAGTAAGCACTTTAATCTTATTTTATCTTTTTTTATCATTGAGTTATCAGTTATTCTTTGTTTTTTCTAAAGATAGGACCAGTGGATATTCAAAACATTTGAAATCCCAAAATTCAATTTTTTTAAAATCTTTTAAATACTAAGAACATTATATAACTCAAAATGCTGGGAGTATTAGTTTTATTGACCCTTAGTAGAAGTGTTCATCCATTAAAAAAACTAAATTATTGTTGCAATTACTAATGAGTCCTTCATGTTTACAGCATGCCATGATATACATATGCTGCATCCAATCCATTATTTAAAATTTAACTGTTCAGAAAATGAATCTCAAGAGTCAGAAGTTTAATTGTGCATTTCATTTGTATTGTTTTAATTAATAAATAGATTTGCATTATAAAAACTTTTCTCAGATTTTTGATTAAGTGCAAATTTTAAATTTTGCTTTATTGAAAAACTTAATATCAAGTAAAAGGATTTGAGGATCTGGATTAAAAGTCTATATAAATTTATAGCTGTATCTAACAAATTTGAGATGCATCAGCATAATCTTATGTGTATAGGTCATTTAAAAAATAATGTCCTGCAAAGTGTGTAGTGCAGTTAGAAGGAAATTTGTGCCTGCAACATTCGAGTTCATGAAATCTCAGATCAGAACAATCAAACAAAGCTTCTTGAGTTAAAGTGTAACTAAATAAACTACTAATCATGATAATTTTCTGATGAATCGTGGAAGATTTGGTGTAAAGTAATTATAAATGTCCATGTTGTCAATGGGATGCCAATATTAACGAATATTATTCTGAAATCTGATCTTCAAAATGTTATAGGAAAACTAAT